ACAAAGTCGCCAGTTCTCATCTTCCAGCTCCCCAGATACTCCGCGTATTAAAGATACTAATTAGTACTAGAAAGTCGCCAGTGCCTGCATTTCGCGCACTTGCCACGCACGATCTCCGCAGAGGGTTGCGCGCACGCCGGACAAATCGCACTCTCGCCTGCATTTCGCGCACTCGACACGCACGATCTCCGCAGAGGGTTGCGCGGGCATGGGCTCTCGCCTGCATTTCGCGCACTCGACACGCACGATCTCCGCAGAGGGTTGCGCGGGTGCCGGTCAAATCGCACTCTCGCCTGCATTTCGCGCACTCGACGCGCACGATCTCCGCAGAGGGTGGCGCGGGCATGGGACAAATCGCACTCTCGCCTGCATTTCGCGCACTCGACACGCACGATCTCCGCCGAGGGTTGCGCGGGACAAATCGCACTCTCGCCTGCAGTTCGCGCACTCGACACGCACGATCTTCGCAGAGGGTTGCGTGGTAATTTCACAAATCGCGCTCTCGCCTGCATTTCGCTCACTCGACACGCTCGATCTCCGCAGAGGGTTGCGCGGTAATTTCACAAATCGCGCTCTCGCCTGCATTTCACGCGCTCGACACGCACGATCTCCGCAGAGGGCTGCGCGGTAATTTCACAAATGGCGCTCTCGCGTGCATTTCGCGCACTCGACACGCACGATCTCCGCAGAGGGTTGCATTTTCGGTTAACGCTGTTCGTCCCACCCTCCGCCTTTAAGAGAGAATTTATAAAGTGGGGAAATGTTTTTCATTAGGACATCTCCCGTGCAAGTTTTCCATACTCATAGTTGCATACTTGCACTGGGATTGCACTGGGATACTTGCATACTTTTGCACTTGGATACTTACACTGGCATACTTGCCCTTGGATGCTTTTAACCCTTACACTGGGATACGTATAGACGTGTATGTATTCAAGTGTCAGTGTGGAAGCGTAAGTGTTCAAGTGTAAGTGTAGAAATGTCAGTGTTCAAGTGCAAGTGTGGAAGTGTCAGTGTGTAAGTGTAAGTGTCGAAGTGTCAGTGTTCAAGGGATTTTCCGGAAGAACCCTTTGCAATGCTTTCGGGAAAAAACACCCAACCCTAGGAACAAGCTCTCTGAGTTGACAAGCACTGACCAACAGAAGAACTGGCTGTTCAATCTTGACGCGTGAAGAATCTTGGGTTGAAAAGAACACAAAGCAATGCTACTCCGTGTGTAGTTGAACGCAATCCCACGCGTGACTTGGTAACATTAGTTGCCATAGACTGAGGGCGAAAGCAAATGACAGGACGGCGCAGAAGTCTTGGCGGAATCAGGTCCCCCACGCGCCGAGCCCAGCGCGCTCGCAAACGTGTACAGTGCTCGGAGCTGGCGTTGAAAAAGCAACCGCGTGTTGAACGAACCAGGGCTGGTTTACACTGGAAGACCGGCAAGTAGAGACACAGCAGTTTGTTGACTTCTGGACGTGTGCCGCCCTGTTCAGCATTCACATGTCCATTGGACTTTGTGATGTCCCGAAGAAAAACCAAAGCCCGGACTATTCTGGTTTGGACGCATCAATTTAAAGTGTGCTCAATGCTCTCAATACGGATCTTAAAACTTAACACATGATGATCATCATTTGTAGGGGACCCATAATCCTCAAACTACCCAAGGGAATCCCAGCCTTCCAAAGCCTCTCAAGTTCAGAAAGGACCACCTGAACCACTTCACCGTCGGCCCCTTCTTTCGGAAAAGACCGGGAGATCCCCGCGTGACTCGGTCCTCCCGCGGCCTGAGGATGCCACGGTGCCCGTGGTGGGTGTGGATGGCAGCGGGCGAGTGAACGAATGGAACCGTGGGGGCTCCTGGTGGGCGTGGTAAGCCTGAATGTGGAGTTTTGAAAGACCAGATGGCTCTCCTTGATCTAACAAAGATGGAGATTCAACTTCGATATCGATTTAGCTGGCTTGGCTGTTGGCTTTTGCTTGGCCACCAGTCTGGTGTGCGATGGAAAACGGCGATGTTTCGATCTCGGGCACCGAGATTTCTGGATTACCCACTCGAACGCGAAGCCATTGGTGAGTCATGCTGACCACGGAACACCAGGGCCTTCCAATGCTGAAAGCGACCGTGTTCTCCGCTGCCGTAGCGATGACAGGCGCTGCTGTGGAGCTGCTAGGGCTACAGCGAGTGGAGGCCCTGCTTGGGACTGGCTGTGGGGGAGAGGTTTGTCAGACACCGCTTGGACGGGGTCACTGGCCAAGAATGGAAGAAGTACTATATAATATATATATATAGTTATATACTTTGGATTTTCCTTATCCGACTGAAATGCCTAAACCATGTTGAAGGCTCGACGACAAATACAAAGACAAAGACATTATAGTAACTTATTTCTCCATCTCTCCCCATGTTTCGCCTGATAACCATGGAGAAAGAGAGAAGAGAGAGCAGAACACAGCAAAACCTATGCAAACGGTCCATGGATGTCTAAGTTTGGTTGGTTGGCCTGCTTGGTTGGGGATTGTGAGGAGCCTCAAACTTGGAGGGCACACGCAGTAGGGCGCATTGGGCAGCTTCTGTCTTCCTTTCCACACGCTTTTTGCTCGAGCGTGACCGACGCACGTTCTATGCCTCCATCTCGCCATATCGGAGCCTCAAACGCGACTGGGCGGCACGCGTGGTGTGTTGGGCCCTTTTGGGTGAGGAGAGGCGACAAATCAATTGCCCTGTAGATCCGCAGCGCTTGTTGAGACAGGTTTTGGTGAGAGAGTGATAGAGAGAGAGGGAGTGTGTGTATAATTACGGAGCTTGGTTGTGAAATTGGACTTGCTGCTCTTGCTCTTCGGGGAGAGAACGAGCCGGGACAGCGTTGGGAAAAAGAAAGTATGAGTCCACAGGAATGAGGGTCGAAGTACCTCTCGTGCGACGCAGAGCGATCGTTTCATTCGCACCGCGGAGCGGGCAGGCGAGTCGGTGCAGGTCAGCATTTCTGATCGTTTCTGTCAGCATTTCTCAGGGTATCAGCTAACCTAAAGCCCTAGGGCCTAGGGTGCTAGGGCTTTTGCATTGACTTGGCGTTTCAGGGCATTGCAGGTGTCTCCAAGATGCGGCCTCAGACCTAAAGCCTTCTTCTTCGGCCTGGGACGCCACACGAAGAGTTGGGGCACTCGGTGTCGCCCCGTTCGGCCCGACAGTACGACCGGTGCCCAGGTGGTCAGGCCCCGTCATGCAGGCGACCGGACGACCGTCCGGGGTTGAGGGTGTCAGTCTGGCAGGTTTGACTGGCCTCCCCTATTTGACGGTGGTCATATGGACTGTAGACGGTTGATGGATGAGACGGAGAGGCTTTACAATCCAAGAGAGTGTTTTATTCAGCAGTCTACATGAGACGACCTGATGTATGAACATGTATGAACTAATTACTCCATTGTGAAAATTGATGGCTTGTCTTTTTTTGTTGCTTCATCTTCGAACTCCAGGGGGCAACACGCTATTGCGCCATCTACAAGTCCAAAAACCCTGGAAAACTACCGCATTTATGGTCCAAGATATTGCCATTTTGTCATCTTTTGTTTGCGTGTGGGGGCTTTATGTCAGAACCACAGATGGCACAATGCCAATCAATGCATACAGTAGGCTTCAACTCTGCAAATCTCACCACTGATGCTGTACTGCATGAAGTTGGAGAGGAAAGCGCAGGAAATGCTATACTACATGAAGCAGAAAGCGCAGGAAAGGAAAAGGGAAGGAGGAGAGGGAAGGACAAATCCAGGAAAGAAAAAGGAAAGGGAAAGGACAAGGAACGGAAAGGGAAAGGAAAAGTGAAGGAAAGGCAAGAGAAGGAGAG